TAGTGCAGACCCCATTCAATATGCGTCAGGAGTGTGACCAACTGAATCAATGAAAGATCTGATTTTTACTCTCTGTGTGTTAAATTAAATCTTAGAGACCAATGTTTCTGTCTTTGTGTTAATACATATTGGATAATATGGCTTTTGTCTGATATCTAGGAGTTGCACCTCGTGTTTTAAAACCGGAGATTCGTGATCAATTTCTTGACATGGAAGCAAAAATTAGCAATATAACTGATCCCGATCGGACATCGGTCGATGTATGGAAAAGTTTGAAAGGTCCTAATGCTACACGTGAAACACGTATGGAAGTAGTAGCGTGGATAGCTGTATGTCAGTTTTATTGTCGATTAGAAGGTGGCTTTGTTCGTGATTGGGTTGTGGGTAATTATTCCTCAAAACCAGCTAATCTACCACCGAATCAATGGGTACGATATCAACCATCTGGTGTACCCTATTTAAATACACAGCTTGTTCCATCAGATCTCGACTGTCATTTACCACAGTCAAAAAATTTCGACATTGAAGCTTTTATAGATGCATTATATGGCTATGGAATTTCAGCAACGGCGATTCGACAAGATTGGCGTTATGTAGTTTTGATAGATGAAAATACTAAGACTGGTCCATTTACAGTGGATTTAATAGAATCACATATTGCTTTAACGCATGATCGTATTGATTTCGATGTTAGTAATTTATCATTAGAACGAGGATATACAAAAGATTTGGGCATGCGTGTTGATATTACTGGTGGATCATATCCAATTCAACTTGAAACGATTGTTGAAAACATTCGAAATAAAAATTTGCAAGTTTTACGACCAATTGATGGCGAAAATGGACCAAATACATCGGGCACGGTTGCTGAACGTATACAGAGGATGAGATCAAGAGGGTGGACACAAATTGGTACACCATTGGCGTTTATCCCAGATCCCCCGTCAACTTACAATGCTGTTCTTGTACCTTATCCATCTGCCACAGTACTCTATCAAGATCTTGTGACTCAAATCAAAAAGATACCTGGAGCAAATGTTATATCGATTGAACAAATAAAAAACCCTAATATTGAAGCATTGTATGAATATATGAAACGAACAATAGCAAAAGAATGTCCTGGTAACGATCCAAATGAGCGAGAATTATTTCATGGCACTGGTGGTAAAGCAATTGAAGGAATAATTAACGCAGGTTTTGATGATCGATTCTTTTCTCCTAGTGGTGCATGGGGTATGTTAAGATTATCATTTGCAAACTGTTG